TTAAAAGGTTTTTATTACATTTTTCCCGTTATAATTATGTTTTCTGTTTACATGACGCTTAATTGACATGGGGTGTGAAGATTTATTTATCGAGCACTTTTGCAAACACAATACGCTCTTGTTTGGCACGTAAATTTAAAATGTTGAAAAATTTTTAAAATAATCTTTGAAAAATAAGGTGAAACATTTTTTTTCTCATTGTTTCTTTTTTATTTTATTTTGTACCTTAGTGGAACAGCTCAATACGAAAATTGGCAACGGAAAAAAAGCATTTGTGGTCTCCCTTATTTTGTCATATTATTAGTCAGAGCGTTGTTTATCGGGCATTTAAATGTATGGTAAAATGATCCCTCGGTAGCATTAAAACCGTAAGACTACGTGAAAATTGCAGACTCGGTTTGTCGAACACCGGATTGCAGAACACATGATTGTTGGTCTGATTTGAAAAAAATTAACCAAAAACTTTCCTACACAAAACTCCAAACCTGTGTTAAATAGCCGATAACACCCAGGAGACCGATATTATTTCGATTCAAACATGACCAAATACTAGTAAGCAAGACAAAACAACAGCAACGGATTTGACGAGTGTTAAAAGTAAGTAACTATTGAAATTCTAGAATAAGTTTTAAGTGATTTTCTCTGTTTTTTTTAACAACAATAAATACGCTGTATGAAATAAATAATAAGTACAAAATGTATTTTTTACAATAGGCAGGGACTTTGGAAGTTCTTGTAGATTTATTAAAAGGATTATGGAGTCTAAGGCCGCGTCTACACCTAGTCAAGTTTCTTACATGTCACATTTAGATAAGCTAAACAAATGGCCCTTTCAACATTTTATCAGGCACGGTTTTTACTGAAATGTCTCATAAAATTGCCCAGGATTTATACCATTGTCTTTACAATACTATCATGTTTCTGTAAAATGTGTGAATAAAAAAGCGGAAATTGATGCAATAAGCTAAAAACAATGGAGTAAATGAAATGCGTACATTGTTTTTAAATAAATTGAAAACGTGAGAGAGAAAAAATGAGCTTATAAATTGATGCAAATTCTTTTTTTAATGAAAGTTATTTACTAAATGAACAAGGTCATTTAAAAACCATTTTGATTCTACTTTTGAAAATTAGATCCTTTTTTGCTCTTCTGTGTATCAGTGTATCGATTTGTTCCTTGGACCAAGACATTATAAACATTTACTGAAATTCACAGGTCGTGTACACTGAATCAACAACAAAAAAGTGAGAAAATAATAAAAATAACAGCCCTAGCACACCTTCGGGGACACATGATTTGTGTCAATCTGTGTTATCAGTGTCTTGACAGCCAAAAACTTGTAGAAAAATAGAACGTGTTCTAATTTTCTCGCAAGGTATTATCTTCATGAATGTCACATAATTTCACTTTAAAAGTCATTCAAGTAGGGTGTCTACACTATGCAAGTCAAGAGAATATGATACTTGCATTCAAGACTTGAATTGGTGTAGACGCGGCCTAAGAAGAAAAAACAAAGTTAAGTGAAAATAGTAAAGTAAGATAAATTTAGTGAGAAAAATGGTTTGCTGTAATAAGGTATTTCGTTGTACTAAGAGGCTATAACTAATAATTTATTAGATGCTGTTGGTTTTAAGATACCTAAGCTGAGACCACAAGTGATTTATGCCAGATGATGATAGAAAGTACCAGTAAGAGATCAAATTTAATTACCTATGGTTTTTAGCAACACACAGAGCACAGAACACCATTTCATGATCACCACAATACATCTCAATATCCCTGTCTGGATGGTAGAGACATTTGAACATGTTTTCTTCGTCTGATGTGTTGTTAACGGAACCTTTCTCACAACGTTGAAAATCGTTGTCTTGTAGCTTGTGTTTTTTCGTTGCAGACACTTTTTTGTGATGATTCACACATGTTTCACACAGAAATTCTTTACATTCTGGGCAGTATTTCAGAGATTCTTGAATAATGCCGTCTTCAGCACATGGGGTGCACGTGTACTCAAATATCATATCAGAGCCTAGCACTGGGCTACTGTATTCACCTCCTTCTGCCATCTGATAAGATATAAAAAAATAACTCATTAAGTGAAATATACAAGGAAGCCAAGATTTAATTGAAGACAATACTTTTTATCATTTTCTCTTCATGTGGTTAAGACATAAAACTTTTTCTTTACTTTAATTCTTTTAAGCGACAAGTAAAGAGAATATATCTACTTGAAATAAATAAGTTCCTGTAAAACTTATGTCGAATATCATAAATGAAGAAAATACATTAATAAGAAATTTATCTGCACAATTTCACATTTATATATGACATCATTCACATATCTATTCCTCATTTGAAAAGATATATCGTTCTAAAGTATTTCCCGTTATTTATAGATACCAGCATATCATTCTAAAATGCAAGAATCGGATGTTAGCCGTAAACTATAAATTTATCTTTGCGCCCAAATATGTAATTACCACTGAAGACTACAACATGCTGATGAAACCTAAAATCCGTGTACATATTTCATGGGTTAACATAAAAATAAGTCACATTATTTTCGGCCACAACTTTCATTTTCAGAGTCTAAATTTGTTGTATTTTTATCTATATATTTTTTATAATTGTTGCTGCTACTATAATTTTCACCTCATGTACAGTGCATTCTAACAAATAATTAGTTTCTTGATAATAAAAATTAAACTGCCGACGTCATCGTGTAACATACTGTTTATGCCATAATAACTAAGTTAAACTTGCCTAACCTGGTTACTGGTGTATTGTTTAATACTTTTATTTCTCAATATCTTACTTAATATATTGCTTAAGCTAACTGCTAACTTAACTTAAGAAAAATACATCAAAAACACTTACTTTAGTAATTTTAGTTCTCCTAGTTTCGATTTCGTTTACCTACAAATTTTTAACTTGGTGAATGTGTAACGCCGATTTACATTTCTATGCGTAAACAAGATAACCGTACAGCATATTTTTTACATTTTATTGCATTTTTAGAACAGTAAATCTACTAATAAGTACACATATATGAAAAGTAACTGATATGTGGTAAATATATTTTATTTCAATGTTAGTTAATATGCAGTTCGTGAAAACCCCATGAAGTTGAATATTTTGGTATAATCAAAATGTATTACCGTTATTTTGAAATAGATTTTAGATTATTTTAGTAGATTCTTGGATCAGAATATATGCATTTAATATTCTGCGTGAGTTTTAAGTCACACACAAGCACACACGCACGCACGCACACACACACGCACACGCACGCACGCACACACACACTATGATGCTGGAATTTTCCAACTTTTCTGGTGAAAGAAGACTTCCCGCTCGTGCTTAGTTTTAGTCACGAGTGGGCATCTGAGTATTACCACTGATGTTTCGTAGACTAGCTGGATAGGTACATATAGAGATATAGATGAAATGTATGAGCCACCATTCGTTAAACACGTATAGTAACTAAAATAGAAACAAAAGTATCATTAGTTCACAATAATAAACAAATATTAATAAAAACACTATGCTTAGAACCTCGCATCTGTGTAAATTATCTCAAGGAAACAGGAGCTTACTTTGCAAGATTTGTGCTATTGCTAAAAACGTGTAACCCCCTTTAAAATTACTTGATTTTACCGAGCATATAGTCCAAAAGCATTGTTTATAAAATATGGCATCTTTGACGCCATGTTTTCGAGAGAGCTAATATAAGCAGTCTCAAAACAAAATTTAGGAATTTAGGAATCAAAGAAATTATTCTTGGCCAGTCGAAACTGCTGTGGCTACATTTAGCATGCTCTGAGACCTTATCTACAACATTTGGAGATTGAATTTGGAAGCTATTTGTATTGATATTGAATGCTATTTTATGAAACTTGAAACAATTTAGAACATTACATTAAACTGTATATATTTTTGTATCTAATACTTGATATGAAAATTAATTGAAACAAGAATTGGTGTCTGTTGGTATATACAACATTAATTAACGAATAAGTTACTATGTTGTTGATGTTGTGTTTCTACTTTTTCTTCTTCTTCTTCTGTAAAGGTTTACTATTAGCACAATGTCTTATAGGAATGGCTAATATTGTCATTAATTGGATAAAAGAGAATTGTAATAACATCTTTATTCATTACATTTTCACACGATTTCGCGATGAAATATAGAGGAAGATAAAAATTTATCATGAATTTACAGGCATATTATATTTTGTAATAAAATGTTATAATAATCAGATGTTGAAAATAATTTTATAGCCAATTAAACGCCAAAAATACTTACTTTCTAAGACAAGTACAAGTGTGGTCGTTTTTACAACGCCAATGGCATGTTTTGTCATTTAAAGCACAACTGCATTTCACTTATCCATTCCCCAATATTTAAGCTTGAATCATAGTCTCTTAATTATATAACTCGGTAAGACCAAAAGAATGCAATTGTTTATATTTAATTCTCAAAAACTAGAAGTTTGCTTTTAAAAATCGGGAAACAAAGTGATCCCTCGGAAGCATTGATCACAACAAAATTACAAGAGAATTGCAGACTCGGTTTGATTGAGTCTGTACATTGAGGGATAATGAATACGTGCAACATCCCTCACGCCCCCTAGCACCGGCTTGAGCGGTACTCAATTCTCAACACTCAATAGTGCTGGTATCAATGATCCCGAAGGACAAGAAAAATATAACAACACTGAAGTGAAGTACGATGCATTAAGTCATTAAGCCATTTGTAATGTAACGGTTACTTATATGGTATTCTAAGAAGAAATACAACTTTAGTATCGTCTTACTTCAAATTATATAATATAATATTCAACACTGCTTTCTCCATTATAGCCCTATAGCCTAATGATCACGGACAACATTTGCAAGCAAGCAACTTGTGTTAGACTTAAAGTTATATGCATTAAACGACACCTCAGGTATCAAGCTATAGACAGTCGCCGGTTTTTGTTTTTTGTTGTTGTTTTTTTTTTGTTTGTTTGTTTTGTTGTTGTTTGTTTTTGTTTTTTTGCCATTCAAAGGAAATTTGATAAAATTTAGATATTTAGAAATTAAGCAAACGATTTCAGGAATCAGAATTTCCAATTGTCACCTCCTTTATTATATAAAGTAAATAACACAGTTGGGTGTCTAAAATCTTATGGGACTTTTCAATTACTTTTCATTGCGTCGTAGAAAATTAATCCGAAAGGTAAATGGTGGAATAAACCCATAAAGAAGAAAATATGTTAGTCCCAGGTGCTTTTATTCATTGTTGCAATATCAGATTAATAGTGGGAGTTTCATAATATAAAGTTATTGTCATTATATGTTTTGTTAAGTTTTTTATTCTTATTCAATTAATTTAATATGTTAATAATAATAAAATTATTCAAGGAATGACTTAAAGTATCAGATTTAGCCATTCGAGTTTGGGTTGTTTTGTATATCGTGAAACAAAATTAGATTTTTATGTATATTGTTCCTTTGTTAGATTCCTTTTTAAGGAATTGGTGATTTAAAATAGTTTAATGTATTTTTTTTAATTCTAAATGTCACTTGCTTAGACACATGCTCTAAAAAAACTAAAAATCGAGAAACGGTTAATTCTATGATTTCTCGGCTTATAAAATCATATTTAGCTTCATCGGGAAAAAGATCATTTCACTTAATACTGGGAATCTCTACGAGTGAATCGGGGTGGAGCAATTCGTTATCAATTCAGTATACGGTTAAACAATAAATGTGAAGGTCGTTTAAAATATTTTAGCTGTCCTTTAGATGGATCACAGCTCTCCACACGTGTCCTTTCGAACGAGTTGATATCTCTAGTAAAGACTGACATGTACACCAGAGAAGGCAATTTGTGAAATATGACATCTAAGCTAAAAAGATAAAGCCCCCCCCCCCTCAAAATAAAAAAAAAATCAAAAAAAATCTAAAATTACTTTTTAAGTGCTTGTTATGGATACATAATTTCAGGTGTGCCTATCATTCAAATTTAAGTTTCGAACAGTTACTGGTACATGTAAGTTCTAAAAGAATAAAGGAATGTCTTGTGAAAAGGGGAGAAGATTTATAAAACATAGACCAACTGTAGACCTTGAGGAAATGTATACCTTATTCATGACAATGCAGAAACTAAAGAATGTAGGATGCTTTAAAGAAGGAATATGATGGTTTATCTTCATTTGTTCCATTCGCCTGTCACATCTTTAATCATGTTACATTTTTGATTCCATTTTTTCCAACTCTTTTAAGAATAGTTATCTGGACGCCGATATCAAGCTCGCAATGCAATGATCAGTTAATGTGTTAGTTTTCCAATTGTAGGATTGTTCCTATTAATGTCCTGACGGGCTCCTTGCCGGTGGGTAGTGTTGGGGATGCGTTCACTGAAGGTCGCTCTTCCTTGTTGATCTTATTTTTCATATTTGTGTTACATCTTGCGTAGAAATTTCAAAGAAGTTACTTATAACTTATTGTGCAGGTATCTATTTGAATACTTACAAAAATTAATTACATACATTATATATTCATTATTTTTCAAGCCTATTTAAACATGCTCTGCTGATATTAGTTTTATATAGAAATGTTTAAAATGTAAACAATGTGTAATAACCAAATATTTGTGAAATGAAATATTTCTGTTGATATGTCTATTAACAATCCCTACTTAATGTACAATGCACTGAATCTGTTTTCGGAGGAACGTGGAAACATGATGATTTCGTAATGTTCTGAATAAATAACCAACAACAACCAAATGCCTAGGACAGACAGCCCTTACTTTTTATGTTATATTGAAAATAAATGTCAGACTCTTTGTCCTTTTAATATTTTTTACTATAACTACGAGATGATTAATGATATTGTAAGTGTCATTATTCAGAGCATGCTACATGCTGAATAACAACAAAAGGGTAATTTAATGTTGTTATTTATTGACAAATATCAAAAACTGGAAAAAGAAAGTGTCATTTTCGTGTTTTTTCTCCGACATTTAAGAAAGGGATTAATAATGTAATGAGAACATGAATTTTACGAAAACATTTTCAGATGTACATAGCTTCTGAGACACCTTTAATGTTTTTTCGTAAATTTATTATGACGGCAGATTGAAACGAATATATTAAACCCAGATTAAAACGAATATATTAAACAAATGCCATAAGTGATATCCAGTGCCGAATGAGCTTTACCCTTCTGTCGCCTACATCACATGTACCACTCTCAACGCTCTTTATTATATTATGTATTAGTTTATAATTCTTATTCTAATGGCTTTGATAAAGTGGCATAAAACTATTGAAAACAAAAGCATCGCTCTAGAATTTATTGTTAGTTTTACGCGAGGAATTCTTCCGCTTCTATACTCTTGATAATGACACGAAAACGTGATAGCCATTATTAATAGAATCAAATAAAAGAAAGTATGGTTTATATAAATATATCATTTTCTTTGTTTCTTAAAATCATTAAAGATTGGTATTGTGAAGATTTGCAATAATGTTTAGTGGAACCATCATTTTACATCCAAGCCCGTGTCACACTAGGACCCAGTGCAATCACAAAGATTCGCCACAGTGTTTGATTTGCAATGCAAGATCGAGTAGAACGCCTATAGCGATATGGTGAACAGTTTGTGCATGCCCCAAAACAAAATCTGATGCTTGACAAAATTCTTTTAACCTTTTAACAGTATTACTTTGTCAGACTGCATGTAATTTCTATTTGGTTTATACAAATTTAATTTAGTTCGATTGTGTTAGAAGCTTAAAGCTTATTGAAACACTCTCGAATCCGTTCCTGCAACCAACCAGTACTAAGCAATGAATGTAAATTTTCTTTCTCAAGGAAATAACGGCTTGCCCCTGACAGCGTTTGAACCAACGCGGTCAGCAATCATTAGATTACTAGTCCGACG